TCTAAAGCTAAACTATCCTCTCCTATAGGTGAGTACAGGAGTCCAGCCAATGCCACAGAAAACATTCCAGTAATCTTTAGACCAAGGGAGCCAGCAGAAATAGGCAGCAGGGGCTGTTTAGGACTCCCTTACTCATGCCTCTTAGTTTCCCAGTTCTCAACTCTACCCCATTTGCTAGGCAGCCACTGCTGTTAATTGAATGGGCAAGCATATATTTTATAGAGGATGCTGCCACTCAAACTATTGTGGTAATTCTACAGAATACACACACCAAAAAACAAATAAACAAACAAACAAACAAAATCAAAGTAAGGAGATATTAAAGGTTACCTGAAGAGGGCCTGAACCAACAAGGTATAGTGAATAAAATGGTATTGCCTATGAACAGGTAGGTAGAATTGTGTTTTTATTTTGCCATTTCAGTTCCATATATTGGCTTATCATTACAAGAACTCAAAAATGTTTGAACAATTACTATTAAAAGGGCTGAGGATGTGGCTCAAGCGGTAGAGCACTCGCCTGGCATGCGTATGGCCCGGGTTCGATCCTCAGTACCATATACAAATAAAGATGTTGTGTCCGCCGAAAACTAAAAAATAAATATTAAAAAATTCTCTCTCTCTTTAAAAAAAATAAAATAGTATTTCTTTCTTACCTTTCTAAAAAAAAGAGTAAAAGTAGATGTTGTGATGAGAATAAAATGTTGATTAAGAAATATACTTATCCTCACTGAGAGGGGTCCAGGGAGGAGTGAAGCATCATGCTTTCCTAGGATTTGTACAAATAATACGGGGATTAGTTCTTATACCCCTATCCTTGCCATGTACTTCCCAAAGTCAGAGGAAATAATGGAAGCAATGGTACGAAAAGCTCCCCTTTCTTGACAGTTGACTAACTTAAAAATGTACAAGTGGCTTTTTGTTTTTATTTTCCAGTGTCATTATTTACCCAGAAAACCATCCCATATTCCTTACCTCTAAATGGCAGTCAAGAAGATACTTACATAGGAGATGTTCCTACAATCGTTTCTTACTGTCAAGACCTAAGTTGCCACCTTTGTGGATCCAAGAGAAGAGGCCAGGGCCTATATATTTTTCTCATTCACATTGTTGCTCTCCATAGTTTATCTCTATTTTTCATCTTTAGTACATAAAGAAATACTTAAACTTTAAAACATTTTCTCATTTTACCAGCAAAAATCTTTTTTTTTTTTTTAAATCTAGGGGTGCTCTACCACTGATATACCTCCCCATTGCTTTTTGAGACAGGGTCTAAGTTGCTGAGATTGGCTTTGAACTTGAGATCCTCTTGCCTTAGCCTCCAGAGCAGGCCCAAGCATGCTCCACCATGCTGGGCCTCAATCTCCTTAAAGATCAAACCCAGAGGAGACATAGCATCTTCTCTCCCATAATCCTTTCGTCCAACTATAACTAAAAAATATCTTTAAAAATTACCCTATGTGCAATCCACAGCTTTTTCTCCCTCTAATTCCTAAGGCACTCATGGACAACAGGATTCTTCAAAGTGCAGTCCCAGAACTAGCAACATCAACTTCAGCATCACCTATTATATGTTATAAATGCAAATTCTCAGGCCCAACTTCAGACTTATTGAATCAGAAACTTGGAATGAGGCCTATATTTCAACAAACTCCCTTGGTGATTTTGATAGATACTAAAATTTTGAAATCACTTATAGAGATGTTACTTGATGAAAACATCATTTAAAACTAAGTCTCACAAGAAAGTAAATTTTGGTCAGGCACAGTGATCCATGCCTACGGGCTGAGAAAGGACTACAACTTTGAGGTCTTACATGGTAATTTAGCAGGACCCTTTCTCAAAATAAAAAGGCATGCTGGGTGTGGTGATCATGCCTGGAATCTCAGCCACTGGGAGGCTGACACAGGATAATCACAAATCAGAGGCTGGCCTCAGCAATTTTGCAAGTCCCTAAGCAACTTAGCCAAATCCTATCTCAAAACAAAGGAGGAGGAATGTAGCTTAGTGTTAAACTGCTCCTGAGTTCAATATCTGGTACCAGAAAATTTAAAATACAAGAAAATAAATAAATAGGGCTGACAATGTAGTTCAGTGATAGAGTACCCTTGGGTTCAAATCCCAGTACTTAAAGAAAAAAAAAGTAGATTTTGTTGTATGTGTTTTTTCCAACTTAAAAAAAAAATGTAAAGTTTTTAATACAACAAATAGATTATTTACAATACCTAGAGAAAGCACAGATAACACCAAAGCAAGCTAGTGTGGCATAGTGACTTTCATTATTTGATGTTCTTTCTTGGCTTAAAAAAAAATCTCCTTCATGTACTTGACCTGCAGGAGTCTTCTCTTCTTCCACCTACAATCTCCCCAGAGGTGTCTAAAGAATCACCTGTAAAAAGAACTTGTACTCTACCTTAAAATAGGGCCTACTATACAGCTCAAAAAAATACATTATTCTCTCAAAGGGGCTCTTAATCTCCCTCACACAAGTGTTGCATGAGAAAAAATGTGAAATTTTGTTAACCCTGATACCATTTTCTGTTCATTCAATGGTTTCTTTGCATTCTTTCTTTCCTTTTAYGTTTTTATTTGGATACCAGATATTGAAACCAGGAGCACTTAACCACTAAGCCACATCCCCAGCCCTTTCTCTTTTTATATTTTATCTTGAGACAGGGTCTCAAAATAAGTTGCTCAGGACCTTGCCAAACTGCTGAGGCTGGCTTTGAACTTGAAATCCTCCTGCCTCAGCCTCCCAAACTGCTGGGATCATAGGCATGCACTACCCCACAGGCTATTCCCTGTACTTTTTTTTTTTTTTTAGTGTATTCTGTAGTTAATTTACATTCAGGCTTTCCTGTTCTCTAATGTAAACTGCTTTAGCTGTACCCCATAARTTTTGATACATTAAAATGTTTATCATTCAGGGGCTGAGGATGAGGCTTAGTGGTAGAGTACTTGCCTAGTATGCATGAGGCACTAGGTTCAATCCTCAGCACCACATAAAAAATAAAGTTATTGTGTCCACCTAAAACTAAAAAACTTAAAAAAAGTGTTTATCACTCAGTGATCCATTATTTTCTTAATTAGTCCATCAATGGGAGGGATTTTTAAACTTCTAAATATGAAAATGAACTATTTCTGAATATGGAAAAATATGGAATTTTGTTCTTATCTATTTTTACTATTAATTTTTAATGCAATGATAAGAAAACATGGTCAGGGATCAGTGAACTCTTTCTGTAATGGGCCAGATAGTAAATATTTTCATAACTTACAGGCCACATGGTCTCCATTGTAACTACCCAACTCTGCCTTTATGGGAGTAAAGCAACCAAAGACAATTTTTAAATAAATTAATACGGCTATATTCCAATTCAAATTTTTCTTACAAAAACACTTGGCTGAACAKATTCAATTTTGAACCATAGTTTTGTCCTCTACACAGCATCAAAATTTCAGTAATTAAGACCCACAGCACCTAGTATGTTATGTTATGTTCATGCTTGATAATCAATTTTCTTATCCTTGGCCTGCTCTAGTCTTTAGGATTCAGGCCTGACTCATGTAAATGTTTGCCTTTGTTATTTTGGTACAGTGATTAAGAGACTGGGTTGGGGAATCAGAAATATCTCAACCACCAAGTTTGACACTTGCCATCAGGTGATTTGAAAACAAATTATTTAATGTCTCTAAGCCTCAGGTTCCTCAATTATAAAGTGGAGAAAGTAATAGTACCTACCTCATGGGGTGAAATGATTCAACAAAATAATCCACATAAAGCACTTACTTAGCAGAGCCAGTCCATGTGGTTGACTCACTACTGGGTGAGGCAGATGTAATTAAACCCATTTTATTAAAAAAAAAAAAAAAAGTTTCACAGATGTTTAGAAAACTTGCCCAAAGTCTCATCGCCAGTGGCAAAGCCCCAATTCCCACCCAGAACTTGTAATTTCCAAATCCAATGTTTCCAGTGCTCCACCTCTGACTAAGGCGCGTCACACCAACGTGGAAGGAATTCACAGTATGCCACTCTTGGGCGAGGCGGCGTTTTAAAGACAACAGGAGAAAGGGGTTGTGAAACCCACAAGAATAAATTCTTCATGGTACAAGTTTGGTCCCTCCAGGAATAGAGGAGATTTGAGTAGGCTTGAAAGGGCGTGAAGAACTTATATAGGTAACAAACCACCACATTTCTGGAACCAGGCTGTCAAGGTTTAGAAGCTGGACCCGCCCTTTCCTGGGCTTAATCCAGAGGGAGTGGTGTCACCCATAGGTGCACTCAGGGCCCCTGACCTTGCCGCCGGCTGAGACCCGCTGTGCTGACCTTCAAAGGATCTCCCGCTCCGCGAGCCTGAAGTTCCAGGAGCCTAAAACCATCACCCTAGTTAAACCGCCTAAAACCATCACCCTAGTTAAACCGCCTAAAACCATCACCCTAGTTAAAACGCCTGAAACCATCACCCTAGTTAAACCTCTCGGAACTTGATTGACTTCGGCTTTTTAAAAGCCGGGCGCTGTCATCACTTTGAGCCGCATAAATCACAGCCTCGACCGGCTGCAGATTCAGCGTTCCTTCCGTGGACCACAAACTTGGCCTCCGTTTCTCCCTCCACGGGCGAGGGTCGTGCCGTGAAGACCCCCGGGAACCCCGAAGAGCGTGCCTTGGCCTTTGCAAAACTAACCCAGGAGCCTCCATTCCTCGCACCCGACCTAAGGCCAGGACTCCGCAGAACCACATCCTGTGACAATCACAAGGACTTTCTCCGCCCCGTCGGTGACGGGAAACTCGTGACTGGCTTCTCCGCTCCGAGCAGAAAGCCGAGAAATCAGAGGCGGAGCCGCCAGTCCGGCTAGCTATGAAGCCCCCGACGGACGGCGCGTGCGCAGTCTCTCACCACGGGACCTCCTTCCCGCCGCTGAGACTAGGAAGCGGGACGCCAAATCCGTCCCCGCGCAGCCGCCGCCGCCGGGCGCCGAGCGGGGCGGCTGCCCTGCCCGAGGCGCGCCTGCGCACGTTCCCACGCACGTTCCGGCGTACGGCGGCGGCCAGGGGTCGCGAGCCGGTGGAGGACCCGCGCGCGGAGGAGCCCGGGGAGTCAGCGCTTTTTCCCTCCCTCCCCCACTCCCCTCCCCGCTCCCTCCCCCCTTCCCCAAGAATGTTCCGCTACGAGGTAAGCTCTTGCGACCGGAAGTGGCCCCCCCTTCCTCGCGCGCCCCTTTCCTCTCACCCTCCGCGCGCCGGTCCCGTGCTCCAGGGGGGAGGGGGCGAGCCGTGGGAGTCGCGCGATCTAGCGCAGCGCCCCCGACCTGGGGTCGCGGATTTAGTCCGAGGGCTGGGAACCAGCTTTGAGGTTTGGGGGGCGGGACTGTCCCATCCGTTGCCGCTGGGGAGAGTTGGCTTCTGCTTTGGGGTGGGGAGGGCCCGTTAGTGCGGTAACCTGAGCGCCCCTCGCCCCCACTCGGGGAGGGGCGGTGGAGGGAAGAGCATTGCATCCACCGGGTGGCTGTTCTTAGGAAGAACCACCCGGGGATGCCTGGAGACGACTTTCCCGCCTACCCAGAACCAGCCCCCTTCTCCCGGGTTACCCACGGGTACATGCTGTACACCCCGGCAGCCTTCGGTCAGGGCGCCTGGACTTGCCCTTTGGCAGGGGCCCCGGACTGTTTACTAGGAGAGCGCTCCGAGCTGGGAGGGGGCGTGTCCAGCCGAAGTTCTTTCTGGACGAGTGGAGTGAGCTGTGGGTTTGGTTACGACGTCGGAGGGGAATGCAGCAGCTCCAGAATGTGGAGTCTAGACCGTATCGCCCACTCCCTTAGTGACCTTGAGCCACTCCTAATCGCTGGACACAAGGTTTCTGGTTTTATAAAGTGAAAGGACTGATCTAGGTGATTCCTGAGAGTCATTTCAATTTTAAAAAGCGATTTGGTGAAGTCGATCTTGATGTTTTGGTTAAGTCGATCTTGATGATTTGGAAGGGAGTGCGCTGGAAGTTGCCTCTGATGTGGTGGCAGACTGCTTTGTGGGAGTTTGTGGGCCCTAGGATGGGTAGAAAGGCCAGTAAGGACAGATACTTGATAAAAGTGTTAACTGACTTTGTATAAACATGGAGAGGATGATGAGATACAATGAGCAGAAGTTGCCAAAAGGAAACTTGGAGATTAAGCTGAGTAAACCTGAAGATGGGGGGGGGGGGGTGGCAGGTCCAAACAGAATGTACCGAAAGTGTTATGGTAATATCTAGGTTTTATTTAGTAATATACAGTCTTTGCCTTGTTTGATCCTCACAACAAACTATTTGAGGTAAGTGGTATTTGTCTCTGCGGTGCCACTTAAGAATACAGGACCTATGGCCTAGCACAGAACCTGAGACAAAAACGTTCTCAAATGATGCTAGAGCACCTACCTACTTCTTTGGGTTCCATCCTCAGCACTTCATTAAACACACACACTATAGTTAATGGATTAATCAGAAAAGTGAGTTGCCTGTGTTTATCATGGCTTTTCTAGAGTTCATTTCTGTTTTAAAAGAGAACACTGAAATAGTTGAAAACCCAGCATGAATATAATGAGAAAGATGTGAACTTAGTTAAAAAAGATACATAAAAGTACTCATTTTGGCAATTTGAAAATTGTCATCTCTGTTCCACCCGGTGATGTAAAGGATACTGTGGGCCTAATTTCTTGTATGCATGAGAAAATGCTATCATTAGATTCTTGATAAAGAAAAAAGATGCTTGGGAAAAATTCAAGTAAGGAATAAAGAATAGAAACAGAAACAAGCTACTGAAAGCGTCCAATGTCAGGATAATTGAGGAGTATAAAATGCCATCTTTACAAAAGGGTCATAATAAAACTATTATATTCACTGAGAAGGTAAGGTGAACATTTTTAGAACATTATAAATGAGAATGTGAATTTCATGAAAACTTCTTTTCATTTTTTTTAGTCTTTGGAGGATTGTCCTCTAGATGAAGATGAAGATGCATTTCAGGGCCTGGGAGAAGAAGATGAGGAGATTGATCAGTTCAATGATGATACATTTGGGTCAGGTGCAGTTGGTAAGTGACATCTTTTGTGTATGTATGTGTTGAGATTGAACCCAGGGCCTTGCGCATGCCAGGCAAGCACTATACCAACTGAGCTATAACTCCAGCCCAAGCGGCTTCTTTTATAGTTTCATCTTCATCTCTTGCTCAGATACTTTGTCTTAGAAGGAGTAACCTCATTCACTAATTTGGCAAGTTAATCTTCTTGATCTCAGTGAGAATAGTATGTCCTTTACTTAGAATAGTTCATCCTCCTACTGTGCTCTTCTGGTTGGTCATCTTTTGTCCTTATCAATAAAGCCAGGTATTTTCTAAGCCCTATGTCTTCCAGCTATCTGGTTTTTGATTCTCAGTTGCCACTATAAGGAATTCAGATGTTTAGATCAATAGATATTTGAAAGAGATTTTAAATAATTCTAAATAAAAGAATTTTTATTTGGAGAACATGTAACCTAGGGAAAACTCATGGACTAATAGAGAATTCAGATTCTAGTATTCTGCATGTTCTACATTCAGCCCAACACCAGTACATGGTTGTATTTAATAAAATAAAAAGCTTTTAATTGCAAGAATTTTAGAGATAGGAAATCTTCATAAGTTTAAAAAGTATTGTAAACAAATGAAATTTTATCCATCCCCAGATATAGGTAAATATTGTAAGAGCTGAAAAAGGTTAAAAGAGCTGAAGTAGACTTAAAGCTACAGAGTTGTAAATGCTGGGATAAAACAATTAAGAAGCAAGGCTATATGATTACATTTGAGAACAAAATTTACTTAGAACAAGTTTAGAGCAAGTTAACTAAGTATTAGAAATTTGTACCTTTTAAAGAAATGAATAGATCAGAGTCAATGTAGATATTGTTGTTTTGACTTAGTGTTGGAAAGCAGCAATAGCAGTGTTTATATTGTGGTGTSTCAATATTTGTAATTTCTTTAGAATTGCAGCAACAAATATTCAAAACTAAACAAGGAAGAAGAGGAAATGTAGCACAGTGGGTGATACCAATGTGTTAGTATCAAAAACAAAGGTTTTATAAAAGTTATAGTGGATCGTGTTTTGTGATGACTTTATAGCTTAGGTTTGTGAAAGCTTGCACAGAGTTGAATGAACTGGCAAAAATGAAAAAGTTTACTACCAGTCTTCCATTTATAAAATTCAATAGAAACTRTGACTTTGTCATGATCTAGAGCAGCAAGAAGAATGTTAAAAGTATAAACTATACTCATTACAGAAAGGAAGTAAAGATCCTTTGGATTGTGGTCATAGTTTACGAGATGAGATTGCCCAGGAGTATGACCATTGTCTCTCTCCACGAAGATGGCAGGGAAAGCTATGTAGAATAAAATTACAAATGGAGGGAACTGATGTGAGTTGCAAATTGCATAATAACCTAGACAATAAAAGTGATAACATTGTATTCTTGGTTCTGAATTTTTTCTTTTRAAACCTGTACTGGGTGGGTATTAAATCATTTTTCAGCACATTCTTCAGTTGATGAAATTGGTCAATTGAAATTGATTCATAGGGCTGGGGATGTGGCTCAAGTGGTAACGCGCTTGCCTGGCATGCACGGGGCGCTGGGTTCGATCCTCAGCACCACATACAAATAAAATAAAGATTTAAAAAAAAAAAAAAAAGAAATTGATTCATAGCTACTGTATTAAGATGAAGCAACATAGTAATGTGTCCTTCCTTAGTTTTGAACTTGGACAGAGAGAAATGGGTCCTGCCTTCTCATAGACTTCCAGAGTGCTAAGGGCAGTTCCCCCCACCCCAGGAGTTTCTGTTTTTCCTTCAAGACAAGAATATTGCCTTTAAAAGAATATTAGAATGTGCAGAACTGTATTTTATATGATAGGAAAGAAGTATAAGTCCACAGTGCTCTTGGGTGCACAGTGAAAGAACAGGTAGTAAAATTAAAGGCAGTGAAATAGCATATGGTTAGTTTGCTTTGTACCATAGGGTAGAAGGGTATTAAGAAGGACTTCTTGGTCAACCAAGGTTATAATAGAGAAAAGATGTCATAGGTGAGTGCTTTTCATTGAGAGTGTAGTATTCTTGAATTGTAAGGTGAAAATCTTAATTCTTCAAAACATCTTTATATAAATATTTTAAAAAGAAAATTGCTAAGTCTACCTGTGATGTGTTTAGCACACTTCTTACAGATTTAGCTGGTAGAGGAAGTTTAAGCCAGTAGATGAAATGTTAGATCTTTGACATAGGTTTTGATTGATAATTTTGAACTGACATCTTGAACAACACCTGTTTATACTGTGGATATTTTAGGTCACTGGCTACAAAAGCTCTGATATCACATTTCCATAGGACACTAATCATTGGTCTACTCCCTTTAAAAAAGTTTGCATCATCTCGAAGCAATAAATGGTGTTAGAGTGAACCCAAACTCATTTTCTGAAAATAAAAGTTTACACCTTACATGGTTCTTATTATGTGCTTGGTACCGTTTTAAATGTTTCATATATGTTATTAATTCTCACAGTAACCTTCTGAGGTAGTTATCAATATTATCCTCATTTTCACAAATGAGGAAGCAGAGTTACTGAGAGATTAAGTAATAAATACAGTCAGTATAAATTACCAGTTATGTTAAAACAGTCTTTGGGGAGTCTTTGGAAATCTCTTGTCTTCGCTTGGATGGGCTTCTCATTCTTTCTCCTTCCCTTTTCTTGATAGCTGCTGTAATCTTTGGGGACTGAGATTGCCTTAAAATTAAATCACTTCTGTTTCCTTTTTATTTTCTTTTCATTCAGAAATATCCCAGACAGGCCTGGGGGGCATTAAAGTATAAGTGTTTGAAAAAGCAGCGTGGAGTTCAGTAGCCCACATCACAATACAGGATCATTAGTTGCAAGAATACAGATACTCCTTTTCCTTCATTTCTCTGCTATTCTTTTGCCTACGCTTTAGCCTTTTAACCAATGATGCAATAAGGTCAAGTGTTGGCACATCTAAGTAACTGTATTTTTAGGTTATTTGCAGAAGTAACAGTGATATATTCTTTCACACTAAGGGCATGAGTCCTCTCCTGATTTTTTTCATAAGAAAAAGAAAAACCAAAAATATGTTGGCAATGTTTTATAGCATAGATTCCTTTGCATCCATGTTTAAAATGCCAACAGTCACCAGGCATGGTGGTACACTCCTGTAATCCCAGCAGCTCAGGAGGCTGAGACAGAGGGATCACTAGTTCAAAGCCAACCTCAGCAACAGCAAGGAGCTAAGTAATTTCGGTGAGACCCTGTCTCTAATAAAATGTAAAACTTGGGCTGGGGATGTGGCAGAGTGGTTGAGCGCCCCTGAGTTCCATCCCTGGTACCCCCTCCCCCCCCAAAAAAAAAATAGAGTTGGGGATGTGGCTGAGTGGTTGAGTGCCCCTGAGTTCAATCCCCAGTACCAAAAAAAAAGCAGTAGTCAGTTCACAATATGTYCATTCTTACAGAACATGACTATTTAGACTGTTTTTAAAATGTTATTTTTAAGTGCAAATAAATTATTTGGTAGAATCTGGTAAAGTTAGCAAATATGAATATGGGGAGTAGCTACCAAACATAATTTAGAACTCTACTACATTAAAACTAATCCATTAACAAATTAATGTTTTAAATTTGGGAAACTTAAAAATATATATTGTTTTAATCCTGAATTCAGGATTATAGACTCCCCACTCTTCTTGGCATAGCTGTTACATTTCAAAAAAAAATTTATCCTTTTTCAGCTTTTTTTTTTTTTTTTTTTAAGCAAGGATGACACCAATATTAAAGTCACAATCAGTTATTTATTACACTATTCCTTAAGAACGTTTCAGATGACTGGTCATTTAAATTAGTACTATAATTTTCATCTAAAATGGATTTTTTCCTTTTTTAAGCACATCTAGGTATGTTTATTGAGACCATTATAATAAAGTGGTTACTTCAAGTTCTTTTCTGTAAGAGGAAATTTCAGAGGAAGAGTGCCACCTGACTAAGCACTTTGTAAGAGGAAGCTTTTGGGTGGGAAAGAAAATTCCACATAAGAATGAAAACACATGTCTTAGAGGCTTAGATAGGAATATTTTGTGACTCTTGCCCACAGCCTTTATCACAGAAATGGCAAAGTGATCCCTATTTAAGGAACCCCTTACCATAGCTCCTATATTGTATATCACATTGGCCAAAGAGCAGACAGTGGATCCTGGGATAACACAATTGTAAATTTGAAATCCCACTTCCCTTGCTTTTTGGATCACTAGGGTTATGTGATATATTATTATATTATAAAAATAGCAAATTTTAAATGCTTAGTCTGCCCTGAAAGGAATTAGCCTACTTAAATATTCATTTGAGATGCTGTGGTATGAATAAGGTTATTTATGGTATTGATTGTTATAGTAAAAAGTTGCAAATCATCCAGATGGTTTTTCAGTAGGGAATAAATTACAATTCAGTTCATCAATAGAATGCAATCTTACATATATGTTTAAAAGAATGAGATAATATTTTCAGCAGTTATATGTGTATACACGTATGCATGCTTGAAAGTATATCCAAGAAGAATCAAGTTAAACTACAGATTGCATTCTTAAAATCTGAACAGAGCTATGGAATTTTTATGAAGAACTTTCACATTCTAAGTCATATATTGTGATGTTTGAATTTTTTTAATCTGTATTTTATTTGTAAACAGAAAGAAGACAGTATAGATTTCTGTGTTAGCTACAAAGGGGATTACCTGTTATCCCTGAATGTGGAATTTTATAGAACATGCAAGACATATAACTAAAGTAAGAATAGAGTACATAGCTTATACAGAAGAGTACATTTATGTGCATTAAAGTAGCACGTTTAGGTGAGATGAAACTAAAATGAAAATTTAAATATTTTGGAAAGCTTAATGAGGAGAAAGAGGTTTCTGCATTTGAATGCTAAAAGAAGCAGAATTGTGAGTTGTGCTTTTATGATAGAAATAGAATAGAATGATTAGATCCAAGAGAACTGGAGTGAGAGTTTTCATTCTAGAGAATTTGATGAAGGGTTCACAAGATTTTAGTCTGTGGTAATGGGAGTAATGTCAATGCTATATCAGCATAATAAATAAGAAAACAATGTTAGTGCTGCAGACCAAATAGCAATGTGCAGGAATAGCAAAGACATAATTAAAATAGAAGAGGAATTGGCTTTGGTCAAAGTTTTATCCCCTCTCCCTTGGCTACTGGATACTCCTTTGCAGTAGCCACCTGACTTCCAGCATTCCCCCCAACACTTCTCCTCTAATCTGCTTTTAATTCAGTAGCCTTAGTGATTCTTTCAAAAGTTAACCCATCAGCTCTGCCCCATTTTGGAGTGGAGTCGAAGACCCTGAATAACCTCCCTCCTCCAGACTCTGACTTTATTTTGTTCTACTCTTCCCTCTTGCTCATTCCGTTCCATTTGAGTGTTTACCCTCTTATTGTCATATTCGTTGAGTCTCTGCTCAAATGTCATCTCAGTGCAGCCTTCTTCTGAACATCTATTTTTTTCGATTTGCCTTTCTTCCATATTCCTGTAGCATTTTGCATCTTCTAATACAATGTCTAATTTACTTCCTCATTATTTTTATTGTTTATTATCTATCTCTCCCCTGCTTTAATGAAAAAGCTATATGAGAGAGGGTCCCTGCATTCTGTCCATCTATACAAAAAATAAATTTTTAAAAAATCAGGTAAAGAAAAATAGCAGTTACAATTTAAGAGACAGTTATGCTAGTACTACAGATTTTACTTTCCTTTGAAGTTTTCGTGTGGAGTATTGTAAAATCTCAAAACCAACAGGTGGTCTTATACTTATGTGTCCCTAGTTTGTTTTTTTATTATAGTACTAGGGATTGAATTTAATGGTACTTTACCATTGTGCTACATCCCCATCCCTTTTTATTTTTATTTTGAGGCGAGTCTCAGTTGATGAGGCTGGCTTCGAACTTAAAATCCTCCTGTCCCAGCCTCGCTCCTGTAGCTGGGAATACAGGCATATGCAACTGTATCTGGCTTTGTATCACCATTTTAGAAATCAATTTCAGACTATAATTTGGACACCTGATAATGTTTTAAGTCATTAAGCCAAATTTTGTTCTTGGCATGGTATTTTTTGTTCTTAATAGTGAAAAGCCCACTTTATGTGTTCCTTGTTTCAACCTTATTTCATGTCTTTAAATAAATGGAAKCTTTATTTTCTGTCTATCTTCTGGAGCTGGGTTATTCATTTGGTTAAAGGAAGAATTTTATATATAAAACCTTTGTTTTGATATGAACTATATTTCTTATACCATGCTATTGTCTTATAGATGATGATTGGCAGGAAGCACATGAACGCCTGGCTGAGTTGGAAGAGAAGCTACCAGTGGCAGTTAATGAACAAACAGGCAATGGAGAAAGGGATGAGATGGACTTGTTGGGTGACCATGAGGAGAATTTGGCAGAAAGGCTCACTAAGATGGTGATTGAAAATGAACTAGAAGATCCAGCTATTATGCAGGCAGTGCAGACCAGGCCAATTTTGCAAGTGAGTATTTCAGTCTTATTTGAGAACTATAGTCGACTATTAAAGTATTGAGCTTTGCCATTTTCACTTATGCCATAGAAAATTCATAATATAATTACTGATGATAATAATTCTGGAAATAAAATTGGGGAATAATGTGTGTTCTGGAGCACTATAATTTCTTGTCAACTACTTGCCAGTAAAAACCTTGGACCCTTGTTCCCTAATAGCAGATGAGTCACCCAGAGAGCTCACAGTATTGCAGAATTTGTATATATGTTTTTTGTTTGTTTGTTTGTTTGGTAGCCTCAACCAGGAAGTCTGAATTCCAGCATCTGGGATGGATCCGAAGTTCTGAGGCGAATCCGAGGACCACTTCTTGCTCAGGTATTAAAAAGTTTCTCATTATATAAAATTACTAGTATTATAAAATGTTAAGTTGGCTCTTGTTGTCATTTTTCCTTACTGTGAACATGTCGATATTTATCATTTGCCAGTATTATGTCAACTACTGCATCCAGTACTTAGACGGCTCTCTCTGTTGATGTGCCCTTTATCAGCCCCCAGGGTAAAAATTGAGAGGGAGCCATTGGAACTCATGTTGTCAATATATGATTTAAATTATTTTAAAAGTCTAGGCAAAACTACAGGGAGAGAGAAGAGATCAGGGTTTGCCAGTGGTTAGATATGGCACAAGGCATTAACTGTAAAGGGACAAAAGAAGGGGATTTTACAGAGTGATAAAATTGTTCTCTGGAGGCAACACCTCTTCTATGTATTTATCAAAACTCAAAAAAAATGTATACCAAAGACTAAATTTTTCTATATGTGAATTAAAAAAAAAAAAAGCTGGTGCAGTGATGCATTCATGTAATCTCAGTGATATAGGAGGCTGAGGCAGGAGGATCTTGAGTTCAAAGCCAACCTCAGCAACTTATGAGGCCCTAAGCAACTTAGTGAGACCCTGACTCAAAAAAATAAAAAGGGCTAGGGATGTGGCTCAGTGGTTAAGCACCCCTGGGTTCAATCCCTGGTACCAAAAGTAAATAAATAGATAAATATAAATTTTTTTTAAAAAGTATTTTTGACATCTGTAGAGGTTATTTCAAGTTAGCTAATTTCTGTTTGTTTGGGKTTTTTTTTTAACTACTTCCTCATTAGGAAATGCCTACAGTGTCTGTATTAGAGTATGCCTTGCCTCAGAGGCCCCCACAGGGCCCAGAAGATGATCGGGATCTTTCTGAGCGAGCATTACCAAGGCGTTCAACTTCACCTATCATTGGGAGTCCTCCAGTTAGAGCTGTGCCCATAGGCACCCCACCTAAGCAGATGGCTGTACCCAGCTTCAACCAACAGGTACCTCTCATTAACAGGCACTCAGCCCAGGATATTGGGCATCTGGGCAAAATTATTGGGGAAATGGGTGATACTGGGAGGAGGGTGGAGATTTTGGGTAGGATTTAGATTAGAAAGCAAAATAGCCAATTATAGTCAATTAGCAGAGAAGTTAGTACAAATAAGAGACACATTCCCGAATAGCCTTTGCTGCTGTTGTTGCTGCTGTCTTTTAATTGGGGGAGGAAAAGGGTAGTTAAGCACATTTAGGGCTTATGTACTTTTTAAAGTGTTTTACTGGCTGCCCAACACTTTGGCAGAGAGATAACTGAAAGCTGGGGGGGATGGGAACACTCAGCATTGTCCACATCCCTTTTTACCTTTAAGATATCCCTGCTTTCCCTAGAGCCTGTGCAGTCCTGTTCCATAGACTTTCCTCCACCTGAAACCAGCAGCTGAAAAGGAAGGCCAATTTGGAAGGTATGGGGGGAGGGTGGTGTTGGTATGGCCTAGTTAGGCTCAATTATCTATGAAATAAATGGTGGAGTCACAATGTATCATGAAATTGCTGAGCATGGCGGCCATATCACAGAGGCTTCAGAATAGGACTTAGTTAATCCTCCAGCTTTCTTATCATTCCTTCTCCCTCACTGCTACCAAAAATACATCCTCTTGGAGAGAATTTGCAAGTCAGAATATCTGCTGATATCTCCCTCAGATAGCATGGAAGGGTGGGGATAACTGGAGAATTAGCTAAATCTTCCTCAGATTTTGCTTGACTTGTGAGAGGAAGTGAACAAAGGTTTTGGGTTTGAATCCATAGTTATAGCAGTCTGCTTAGAAGTAGGGCTTTGCATTGAATTCTGTGTCTCTACCAGTACTTGAGGGGAGGGAGTGTAGGTGGAAGAAAAACTGATTTCATTGAGTGTAGTTGTATATATGTTTGTCCTAATAGATTCTGTGTCCGAAGCCTGTCCATGTTCGGCCCCCGATGCCACCACGTTATCCTGCTCCCTATGGTGAGAGGATGTCTCCAAACCAGCTCTGCAGTGTCCCGGTATGTCTCTTTACAGTCTAACAAAAATGTGAAGTATGTACTTTATGGTCACTGCCTGTGTGATTCAATATGTAGAAGTGCTAACGTCTCCTATGGAACACTTAAATTTTATAATCTCCATCCTTGAATTTCTGGGTCTTATGGTTCCCTGGTCAGAAGACATAGTTTATGTGTTTCTTAGCACTACTCTTTAAAAATCTAAGCTCTTTCTCGTCATCCGGTTTCATGTTAACTTCAACTCTCATTCTAATTTCTTTTTTTTGTTTTATGTGGCCATAATGTTTCATAATTTCTAGCATTATTCTTTTTATTTCTTCAGTAGCGTGTGCTACAATTTGAGAATTTTACAATCTAAGTTTATATTGCATTTCTACTGAGTTCCCTTATTACATTGATTTACCTGTTTCATGATATAAGTGTTTCCTTACTTTATTTTTTTCCTTAGAACTCTTCCCTCCTGGGTCACCCTTTTCCTCCTACTGTTCCTCCGGTTCTCAGTCCCCTCCAGAGAGCACAGCTTCTTGGAGGAGCACAGGTAAGCCTGTGATTAGCTCTATCCATAAAGAACCCGCTTACTGTGTTAAGGTTCATTAGGACATAGATGTTTTTGTTAGTAAACACCACTGTCTCTTATTTTTGCCTTTAGTTTTTAAAACAAAGTTATTGATGGAAACAGTATTCAATTTTCAGCAAGCAGGTGAGCTTGCTTCTGATATAAGGTTAACTCAATCTTAAGATCTTGTCCCTCTTTTTAGCTACAGCCTGGTCGGATGTCTCCCAGCCAGTTTGCACGGGTCCCTGGTTTTGTTGGTAGTCCTCTTGCTGCCATGAATCCCAAGTTGCTGCAAGGGCGAGTTGGGCAGATGCTTCCCCCAGCACCAGGCTTCCGTGCCTTCTTTGGTGCTCCACCCCCTGCAACACCACCTCCACAGCAGCACCCTCCCGGCCCAGGACCTCATCTGCAAAACCTAAGGTATATAAAACATGCCAGTGTTTACCCATTGCTAGCTAAGTCTCTTGATCATTCCAATTTAGTTTTTTAATGTAAAAGTCTCTTAATATTTTTTAAGTAAGGACTGGGGCTTTAGCTCAATGGTAGAGCTCCTGCCTTGCACTTGTGAGGCACTGGGTTCAGTCCTCAGCACCACATAAATAAATAAAGATTTTTATCACTAGGTCCCACCAAAAATACACACACACACACATATACATACACACACACACATACATATATGTATGTATCTTGTAAGTGAAATATTTTGAGATCCTCAAGTCAGGGATTGACAGTTTAGGCTTTCTTATGTCATCATCAAGAATCATGCATCCTGTGCACATTTATACGTTACAAGTTACTCACCTTTTATTTCTTCTAAAGTTTTTTACTTCTCATTTCATGTCCACTTTACAAACACAAAGATATGCACACATGGTGTTGATCACTTAAGAATCATAAGTAAGGATGAGAGATGTGAATAATGAGAAGTTTAAAAAAATAATAATGATAAGTTGGCAAGTCTTGGTATCTGCTACATTTTTTACTTCTACCTTCTGATTTTATAACAAGAGGAGTTCAAGTTCCTGCTTTGATAAAATGGTTTTTTATTACATACATTGTATTATCAGGGTTCTCAAGAAAAATAGAACCAGTAGGAAAAAAAAATAGAGAAAGGGTTAATTTTATTTTAAGGAATTAACAAATGTGATAGGGGAAGCTGTCAAGTTAAAAATTTATAGGGCAGGCCAGAAATCACCTAAGAATTGAAGTTGCATTCTTGAGTTTGAAATGTTATATGTTGGCAGGCTGGAGATTCAGGCAAGACTTCTGTGTTCCAGTCTTGATGCAGAATTTCTTTGGAGACTTCTGTTTTTGTTTTTAAGGCAAATAAACCTCTTGAGAGAACACTATTAACAGGAGCAAAAAGAAAATTACATGCTTTTACTAATAAATTTCCTGAGATTTCATGATCATCCTCTTAGTAGTTGAGAACTGGTCTTTGTGGAAGATAGGTTTTTAAAAAATGACTTTTTAACTTAGAGTCTCTTTAGAATACACTTGGCAGTCCCTACTGAACCTATGTGAAGTTATCCTGTTCTGATAGCATTTGTGAAAACTTCAGATCATCAGGATGACAGAATTAAAGGCCTTTTTTAAAAATTTTTTTCTTAGATCTCAGGCCCCAATGTTTAGACCAGACACAACTCACCTTCATCCACAGCACCGGCGGCTCTTGCATCAGAGACAACAGCAGAACAGGAAGTAAGTACTCACTGTATTCCTTGGTGGTTTATTGGACAGTGTAACAAAATGTTATTAATTTAGTTTACTTTCTTAGTTTACTTAGTATGAAGCTGATTTTGCTGGTAAAGTTATATCAMAAATGCTGTCATTTTTATGTTTTTGATACACTAGCTTTACTAAGATTTTATCAACAAATTTCCAAACTGTTCTAACTCTGTTGATCATAAGTTGAGCTCTGAATTTTTTTAAAACCAGTATTTTATACTCCTTACCAAGTTCTTAGCATTCTCTTTAACTACATTTTCTTTGACTTTCAGTTCAGAATTAAATCTTAAAAATGTAGTGACCATGTAATGCATTCCATTGCTGTCGTGTATGTAAAAAAATTTTAAAAATCAAATCAATAAAAGATTTTAAAAAGAGGAAAAAAAAAATGTAGTGACCAGCCTCACATTTGGGTCTTAATGTGAACCCAGTGGTCATTCTTTATTTCTATATAAATTATTTAATTTTTATTCAGCAAATATAAATGTATACATTTACATATATCTTCCATCTGTGTATTGTGGACTGTGGTAGGTTTTGAAGATTTTTTTAAAAAGCACACAAGACAGATAAAGCCTTTGCCTTTGTAGTTTCATATAAAGTAATTCCATAATTAGGCATCTAAATAAAATGAGGAGAATAAACCAGGCATGGTGGTACATGCCTAGCTACTCAGGAGACTTAAGACAGGAGGATCATAGTTTCAAGCACAACCTGCCTCAAATATAAAAAAAAGGACTTGGAGTGTGACTCAGTTGTAGAGTACTTGAATAACATGAGCAAAGCAAGAAAGAAAAGAAAAAAATAAACTCTGAAGTTTCTTCAACAATTTTATTGTTTTTTGAGTGTGTGTGATTCCTTCTCAGTTTCAGAAATGTTCCAGARTATTTTTGCAGGTTCAAAAGAAAGAAACAAGTGTGGATTATTAAATAATATTCCAAAGTACAAATTATATAGGGAAAGATTAATACATTTGACTATTAAAAATATCAGACCTTAATATAACAAAAGCCATGCAGAAACATACAAACTCCAAATAGAAGAAACACAAGTGGCTTATAGAAATGAAAACATGGTCAAACTCACTCATAAAAAAAATGCAGATTAAAATTAGATAACCACTTAACATGATCAGACAGGCAAAACTTATGAAGTGTCACTTTTGGCAAAGATGTAAGTTTGTTGTCTTAAGTGGAGAAAAGAAAACTACCTGCTTCATAGGGTTTTTAGGGTTTATACAGAAGTCCATAAGTGAAAGTATTTAGTATGTGGTAAGATACTCGGATCTTTTGTTACTCATATAGTTTTATTTCCTTGAGGATGTACTGCATAGCTCTTTSCTTTGAAGACTTGATTTTTAATTGGCCTGTTTGATTCCTGTAATGTTATAACCTTTAATTAATTAATAATTAATATGCCTACTTAGAGTGAATGTGGCATGTGTTTTTCAGTCAGCATCGGAATATCAATGGGGCTGGAGATAGAGGAAGTCACAGGAGCAGTCATCAAGATCATCTTCGAAAAGATCCATATGCCAATCTCATGTTGCAGCGGGAAAAAGATTGGGTCTCTAAAATCCAAATGATGCAGCTGCAAAGCACTGATCCCTACCTGGATGATTTTTATTACCAGGTAAATACTCGGTGCTAGTTTTGAAAATAGCATTTTGGCCCCTTAGGCTAGAAAGGGTATTGACTTAAATTAAAAGTCGTAGCCTTTGGGCTGRGGGTGTAGCTCAGTGGTGGAACATGTTCGAGGTAGAATTTTCTTTTGAGGTAGTCCTCAAGTAGTTGATAATTTACTAAACAAATTCTGTCCTCGCTTCAAGCAAGAGATTCTTGAGCTGTTTGCTCTGAGACCAGTGTTTTCAGTTTCTTTGGCTTCAGTAATCTGGTTCTATCAATTAAGTATATTGGCAGTCTAAAGACATTTCCTTTGATTAAAGTTTTTGAAGGCTAAGGATTTTTTCATGGTAGAGGTGAGGGGGCAGTTTGGGATTGAACCCTGGGCCTCAAGCATGCTAAGAATATATTCCACCACTGAGCTACACCCCGAGCCCAAATGCTGTGAATTTTAATATAGTAAATGTTAGCTTGAATCTAGCAAAAATTAGAGATAAGTACATTTCTATGGTTCAAATTGTGTTACTGCCACTATTGTAAAATAATTATTTGATGGTAAAGAACAATCATAGTCTGTGCTTGTGTTGCAACTGAAATCATTTTGTGGTAGAATTACTTTGAAAAACTGGAGAAACTGTCAGCTGCTGAAGAAATGCAAGGTGATGGCCCTAAAAAGGAACGCACCAAGCTCATCACCCCTCAGGTGGCCAAACTGGAGCATGCGTATAAGCCAGGTAAGATGCAGGCCCTTATATGATAAGAGAAATTTGAGATGCCACTGATTTGATAAAATATAGGTGATACCTTGTCTGTTTTGTCCTCTTTTGGGGGCAGGGAGGAGAGGGCATTCCTGCTGTTCTATGCATGTGGATGGTTTGGGAATAATTTATAAAGTACTATTGCCTTTAATATATGCAAAGATCAGCCTTTATTTGAGCATAAAGTGTATGGCTTGACAGATAACCTCTTGGGTGCTTTTGATATTTCTAAAATAGATGAGGAATGAGAAAGGATAGATTGTAATAAGGAGTTGTTTTAAAGGATACGTAGGTTTTTTTGTAGTAAGTTGTTACACCATGAGTAAAGAACAGAAAAGTAAAAATTTTTGAATGCTTCCTGCCTACATTGCTGAGTTTTTATTTTGTTGGAATTTTAATTTTTATTTTGTCCTTACAGTGCAGTTTGAGGGTTCTTTGGGGAAACTTACTGTCTCTAGTGTGAATAACCCTCGAAAAATGATCGATGCTGTTGTGACATCTCGGAGTGAGGATGATGTAAGTGTCTGTAGAATTATATATTTAAGAATGTCTTGGTGGTCACCAGTTCCTTTGGAGTCATTGTGTAATGAGATCAGGCATGACGGAGTTGTTTGTAGTCTAACCCAGAGCTTACAACCTGGCACATTATGGCCTTCTGGTTTTCAACAGACATGCTGAAATAATAACACCTTCATTTCTCATGTAGCTGGTGAAGGCCAGAAGAGGCAGGAATCTAGACTAGGCATGTTTGTCTGCAAACAGCATCTGTTTACTCCAGTTCGCTATTTTTAAAAAATTACTATTTTCTGGATGGGGATATAGCTCAGTTGGTAGAGTGCTTACATTCCACGCACAAGGCCCTGGGTTTAATCTCCAGCACCACAAAAAATTAAAAAAAAATTAAGTACTATTTCTGTGTGTTTTCAAAATTTGCTGTGAAATTTTAATCCTCCGTAAAATTCTATAATTACCATTTGTCTATCTATAAATTCAGTTTGTGTGTTGGTTGAGTCCATCAACTCTGAACTTTGTGCTAGTGTCATTTTAGATTATTAACTTTCACAGAATCAAAATTTTCTTAAAATATTTTCACAATTGAACTACAGATGCATACTTGGAAAATTGTTCTTAGCAGAGTTCTTAGACACTGAATATTCTTGTCTTTTTTAGGAGACAAAAGAAAAGCAGGTTCGGGACAAGAGAAGAAAAACCCTTGTCATAATTGAGAAAGTAAGTTTTAGAATTTGTTGCTATAATTAGTTTCAAATAAGGAACTATCAAGTATGTGTGTACCCAAGAAGCAGAGAAGTGAGCAGTGACTCAGTGTTCTTTGATTTAATTAAAAATATACTCTTATTAAGTACTTATTGTGTGCCAGAGCACTACAGAAAGAATTGTGGTATACCTTCCCTATGGCATCATGGAAAGAATCCTGCAGTTAAAATTAGAAGTACTGGATTTTTGTTCAGACTTGTTCAATTAAGAGCTGAGTATTTCTGGGCAGATCACCTTTCTAAGCCTGGTAAAAAATTGGAATAAAATTTATATTGTTTCTCCTATGGATTAATTAAGTCAATTTATAGATAATTATTGGGCACTCATTGGGTGCTAAGGAAAATATATTATATAGTTGGTGTGTAAAGCATAAATATCATGTGGCAAAGCCATAGAAGATGGCCTTGGAGTATATTTTCTAGGCTATAARTTATATCTTCCATTTCTGAGGCTATGATATGAAAGTGAGTGATTTAATATTTCTGTGCTGTCATCAGTTTCTTTGTCTATAAAAATGAAGATGATTATGATAGTTTTCTTGTGGTGAGTGTTCAGTGAATGAGCATGAGCATGAAATATTTAGAACAGAGGCTGGCACCCAGTGGTAAAATCACTTCTTATTAATATTTTTATAAATACAAAGTGTCACTGTGGCAGTAAAACAGAATGTCATATATATAGTGCTATTGTTGCTGCACTGTATATATGGAAAATTTGGAAAGTGTAATGACATTACACTATCTTTATCTGCTAGATTAAAAGTCAGGGAGAAATAAAAAATGATACATGAAGAATTAAGGTATTTCACCCTGTTTTCCTGTATTTTAAAAACCACCTTTTGTTTTATCTGAAGTTTATGGTGATCTTATCAGGTCAGGTGGTCCAAAACTGTAAAGTTGTTTATCATCTTGACACAGCATGCTGTGGCCTGCTTTATCTCTCCCTTAGACTTATAGTTTACTTCTTGATGTGGAGGATTATGAAAGGCGTTATCTCCTAAGTTTAGAAGAAGATCGGCCTGCCCTGATGGAAGAGAGAAAGCACAAAATCTGTAGCATGTATGACAACTTGAGGGGTAAATTGCCCGGGCAAGAGAGGTAAGCTTTATGCACTTTGAGGAAAATATGCGACTACCTGGACTTCTTTCTCTGTCAGACTGAGTTTTACACATTTCTGCCTTTTCAGGACCCTCCCCTGCTATCTCTGTAAACTCAGAATCTACCTATTGTCCAAACTCAAAAGGTGATTTCATATTAGCCATTTCATAATCTTTCACAGCTGGTGGCTGGTCAGCATGGGGAGTCTTCTTATCCTGAGTTCATTTATTCAACAAATATGTATTCAGTATCTACTAGGAATTATGCTAGGTACTACAGATAAATGGTGGGGTGGGCCTATTGGATTTTTGGTTTTGAGCTTACGGACTAATGTGGTTTATGATTACTAGCATGTTTTACTAGCATGTAATTTTCATTTGTTTGATTTTCTACTAAGATGGGGATTGTAAACATTTATATTTCCTTGGAATTTCCACAGAATATGTGTTTGGTGTAGAAACCAGTAAATCTTCCAGTGGAGTCTTAAATTCTGTAACTTTTATTGTTTTTCTGTGTCATCTCTCTTCCATTTATTATCTGGAATAGAATCCTGCTGTTGGTAAATGTTCAATAAATCCCAAATACTTAATATGATGAATGTAAGAGGACTACATTGGCTAGTAATTCTCTTTCCCTTTGTTCAGTCAGTAGAGTTGTGGATTCTTCTAAGCCAGGAGATACACAAACAGAACATAAGGACAAGCACCTTGGGTTGGGGTTGTGGCTCAGTGGTAGAACACTTGCCTAGCATGTGTGAGACACAGGGTTCAATTCCTAGCACCACATATAAATAAATCAATAAATAAAACGTCCATCAATAACTAAAAATATATACATTAAAATTATTTTTAAAAAACAAGCACTTTGTTTTCAACACACCTTTTCTGGTGTTTTTAGGGCTGACAAGAAACTGGTTGAATAGTTGTGGTTTGTCCATAAATTTCATGTTACATGGCCTTAAAATGTATGTGGCTGATGTATATTTACATGGAAAAGTGTCAGCAAACTGTTAACACTTGTAAAATTAACTCAGATTATGTTTTATTTTTTATGTATACATTTTCACATGTTGCTCTATTAGCCATGTGATATTTGTGTCGATACTTAAGGGTTAATGTAATAATGCTTGTATAATTTGACCAAGTTTTTCTAAAATGTAATTAGTGAAATTGAAATTTTGCTTTTTATTATTTTGTTAAAGTTGGAGAAGTAATTCTCACTATTTTGTAGTACAGGTCATTGTAGAGTGAAAATGAATGCAGCATATTAATTTTAAAAAGACCTAAGAAGAGAAAACATGAGGATTTCCTGTATTGCTCTTGTTAATGAAAATTGTCATTTTTCTTCCCTTGTAGGCCAAGCGATGACCACTTTGTACAGATCATGTGTATCCGAAAAGGGAAGAGAATGGTTGCCCGTATTCTCCCGTTCCTCTCCACAGAGCAAGCAGCTGACATTCTCATGACAACTGCCAGGAACCTCCCTTTTCTTATCAAGAAGGATGCACAAGATGAGGTGATCCACCATGTGGGACATCTTTCCTTGCAGTTTTTTTTCATAGTTGATAAGATTTCTGGAATCTAATTTCTTTGTCTCTTCTCCTTTTTATGTTGTTTTGTCTAAACTTTGGCATTAGGATTTGATTGTTTAAAACAACCTTAAGTAATTCAGGTGTATTTTTTTGAATCCCATAGTTAGTGGAACAGACCATCTCTCAAAACATGAGGAAATCAGTAGTTCCTTCTTAATTCACAACACAGTTGTAAAGACGTGGTGTATGTCAGAACTAATTGGGAAGCAAATAAGTTGGCTCTGTACCCCAAATGCTGAATCAGAATTTATAGAGGATGGCTGGGTACAGTGTTGAATGTCTGTAATGTCAGCAACTCAGGAGGCTGAGGTAGGAAGATTGCAAGTTTGAAGCTAGCCTCAGTGACTTAGCAAGACCCTGTGTCAAAATAAAAAGGACTGGGGATGTGATCTAGTGGTAAGGTGCCCCTGGATTCAATTACCAGTGCCACCGGGAAAAAGAATTTATAGAAGATAAATCAGGACTTCTGTATCTAAGAGATTAGCAAAATTTAGTATGGTGTAGGAGGTCAAAACAAGAAATTGAGAAAGATAGGACAAAGGACTGGTATTAATGAGTATGAGATTCAGAATAATAAAAGGTATTCGGGTGAGCCTGTCACAGTCAGCCACAAGCTGAGTGAGACCTGTCTGGGTAATTAGTCCACAGAAAACAAATGGTGACAGGATACACTAGAAATGGTATGCTTTGACAGTTGGAAATTGTTCCTTCTGTGGACTCTTAAAATTTTAGCATCTATAGAAGTGAATGAGCAGTTTAGGTCTGATCATTAAGAAAGTGAAGTGGGTAAGAAAGTTTATTTTTAAAAGATTTTAAGAATGAAAAATGGTTGGAAGAAAATTTAAAGATTTGAGGTTTATCTTAATAAGTTGACTAAACTAAAAAAGTTACTGCTATTTTAGACCATGTACACTGTAAGCAGGCGCTCTTGCCATAATTACACAGAGCAAGTTTGAGAGAGCCTTACTCAGTTGRCAGATACATACTAGACACTATTTTATTTCTTAGAAATAACAGCACCCAGTCCTAGGAGCTAGAAATACAAAACTGTCCTCATGGAGCTTACCTCCTAGTGAGGAAGACTTGTTTTTACGTATGTGTGTTGAAAAGCAGTAGACCACATCTCTCAAAACTATTTTCATGAAGGTATAGCTAGTTTTAGGTATGGGGCCTGAAAATTTAAGGCAATCCTAAAATATTGTGTGCGTGAATGCCAAGAAGTTAATGGATTACTAGGGTCCTGTGGATGCACAGATTAACTTTGAAAGGGCTCTTGTTGGCTAAAAATGGGATCATTTATATCAGAAAGAAAAATTAACAGTGGACTGAATGAATGTAGTAAATGTGTTTCATTTAATGAATTCATAATGACACCAAATAAACCAGTCCTCTTTGGAAACTGCCACACCATCAGTTCATCCTAAAAATAGATAAATAAAGGAAAGACTCAAGCATTTATCCTGCTTTTTTATTATAACCAAAAGTCATGGTTACCAGAGTTGGTAATAAAATTCTTTATAGAAGAACTTCAGAAAATAATCATTTTGTAAGCCTTGACTTGTTTGGAGCATACTGACAGCTGAACCTGGCGATGCACTGCAAACACCACCAAGAATGGGACATAAGCGCTGTGCTTCTTGACATAATGCCTGCAGTCTTCCTGCCTCCCTCTTCTGCCCCACCTCCCACCATTAAACCTGAATCTAATCAAACTTGTAATCSCCATCAGTTAATGGGGACATACTGGATGACAGAACCAATTAAGTGGCATCACAGAGATGCAGTCGCCAGATTCAAACAATGGGACAAATTACACACTGAGCCACAACCCCAGCCCCACACATGTTTTTTTTTTTTTCAATAAATAGCATGAGAAGAGGACATAAAGACTGTGGCAAAGGACCTGTTATTTTTTAAACCTTATCAATAAAATGCAATATATGGATCTTGTTTGAATCGTAATTAAAATAAATCAGCTGCTAAAAGATACTGTTGACACAAATGGAAAAATAGGAATTTTGAGTAGCTGTTAACTGATACTAAAATTATTTTTAATTTTGTTTGATATAATGAGATTTTGTTAGAGAAATAAGTATTTTTAGATGAAATGATACCATATGGAAGGAACAGATCTAATAAAATCTGTTTATTTTATTACTGATAATACTGTAATTTGGCTATTGAAGTTGGGTAGTGGATACATGAACAATTACTGTTATTTGTACTTTCACGTATGTATTTAAATATCTATGATTAAAAAGCTTTGTTTGTATAGAGTATTAAATGACAAAAAGTGACCCAGTCTCTGTCCTTAGGTGCCATTTAAAATAATATATCACCGTTTTGTTTTTTTTGTTGTTTTTTTTTTTGTTTTTTAATATTTTTATTTTTTTTTTTAGTTACAAGTGGACAAATGTGGTGCTGAGGATCGAAYCCAGTGCCTCACGTGTGCTAGGCGAGCACTTTTACAACAGTCTTGCTTAAGTTGCTGAGGCTGGCCTCAAACTTAAGATCCTCAGTCAGGATGATAGGCATGTGCCACCACATTCAGCTCTTGATTTCCTTTTTTGTTGTAAAACCAGCTGTATTTTAACTTTTTCCAGTCTAGGCCACATGGCAAAAAGGAATAAATGAATAGGTTACAATCCAACATCATTGGTTTGTGGTTCTAACTACTATGTATCTCTGAAACTTGAGTTTCTGATCACTTAGTTTCTCTAATAATTATTAGTTAACTATTTGTTCACTTCTTCATTGAGCTTTTATAAATAAGATAAAATTAAGTCTGAAAGTGCTAGTAATTGTGTAGCAGTCTAAACTTTAGAGTGCTTCTTACAGTATATCAAAATTGCCAGTCTTCCCCACTATGCTTCAGATGTCTAAGGTCCTTGTGTGACCTGTTTACCATCTTTTTTGGGGGTAGATGGGGTGGGCATTGTGTTTGGCACATTGTAGGCTTTTAGACGTTTGTGAAATGAGCTCAACATTCATACTAAAATAATAGTATGGTGTATTAATATGAATTTTGTATTTGAAAAGTAATTTTAGCCCCCTTGGTTACAGGTCATGGCATTTCCAGTGAAGATTGAATTGAAAACATTCTCAATAGATACCTTAGAATCCATTGTTGAGACTTCAGTCGTATCCACTGGGCTTGCTACCTCTTTTTTCTTAAATCTTGCCATGAGTGGTTGAGTATACTGCTGAGCATCTTTCTGTCCATGGCAACTGATGGCCAGTAATTAAAGAACAGTTGACAAGATGTAATACTTTTGTTTATTTTTTTGTAGGTGCTGCCATGTTTATTGAGCCCCTTCTCTCTCCTCCTTTATCATCTTCCTTCAGTGACTGTCACCAGCCTTCTGCAACAGCTAATGAACCTACCTCAAAGTGCAGCTGCACCAGCACCCTCCAACCCTCACCTTGCAGCTGTGCTCCAGAACAAGGTGGTCTTGCCTTTTGTGTCCCTAGATTTTGTGAAACATCTAAATTTGAGTTACAGATTTAAAAGCAATGGCTACCATGGCTGTGATAACTTGTTCAAAAGGGTTTCTTTTCTTTAGTCAGAAGTTGCGTTGATCCTACTAACAAAATCTAGAAAGAATAGTGTTGTTAGTTTTAAACTTTTTAAGCTAGAGATAAACAGTGTTGTTATTTTTTGCTGCTTTTTTTGTTTCCTTTTTTGAAACACAGTAGGATTTTATGTATCTCCTGAAGAAACAAATCTGGTATAGTCAGCTCACAGTGGACTCAAGAGATCCAGGCTCCATCTTTTTTTTTTTTTTTTTTTGCTGTCATCTTTAGTAGCAAGACTGAACTTTTGTTAGAGAAATAAATATTTTTGGATTAAATGAAACAATACAGAAGGAACATGATCCCTCATGATCTAAGATGGTGTGGAGTTTACATTAGGAAGGAGGGTGGTTATGGAAGATGTGGCTTAATGATCTGTGTTCTTCATTGGGACCTTTTCCAGGACTTCAAACCAACTTCTATTTAATATCAATGGCCAGGATTTAGATAAACCTAACTGCAAAAAAGTCTGAGAAATAGCTTTTAGTGCACATCATTGGTGCCACAAGTAAAATCAGAGTTCCTAATAATGAGAAGGAAAGTATCATTAAGTTACAATTGGTGGTCTCTGTTATATGATTATAAGTAGAATTTCCCATTTTATTTATGTCAGATTAAAGATCCAGCAACTCCTAGTGGAAGCATAAAAGGAAGGAACAAATGTGAGTTTTAAAACAGACCAGGTTTTAGTCCTTTCCTGACATATTAGCCTTAGAATTCTGGACAGATTTTTCTCACTTTCCTAGGGCAGCTTCCTCCTGATCTGTAAAGTAGAAGTGATGATGTAGACTTCACAGAGTTGTCCTTGTACTTCATTGAGATGATGGTTTTGAGTACTTCATGTAGTGCCCCATACATAATAGGCACTCATTCAGGCACTCTGTACAGTAGAGGTGAAAAATAGTCTCAAGGCCTCTTTTCTGCCTTCCGCTTACAATCCTACCAAAGCATGACTCTGAAGGGCAAACATCAGCAGGAGAAGTAACCGCCTTAGGGATGTAGATGGGCTTCTGAAGTAATCAGGGATATGATTTGATCTCTTGGTTTTAATTTTGGTAAAGGCAGTAGGAAACTGAGATCAGATAAGATTATATAGCCCAGTGTCCACCCCCATAACATGAAGGGAAATTTTGTGGAAAGGCAAGATTATCCTTCCCTTTATGTTTCATTATAGATCATGTGATTCTTACATTTAATCTGTTTCTTGTCCACATTTAACCTGTTTCTTGTCCCTGTTTGTATTTTTATTTCATGCCCCTTTAACCTACGTTTCCTCCTTTTACTGCCACTAAATAAGACTTTTTTTTATGTTTCAGTTTCTAAACCTTATGTTGCTGGATTTTAATTCTAAACAAGATGAATGCATCTGTTTATCCCTTCTTTATTTTTTTATTTTCTTAAGAGAGAGAATTTTTTAATATTTATTTTTTAGTTTTCGGTGGACACAACATCTTTATTTATGAGGTACTGAGGATTGAACCCAGTGCCCCGTGCATGCCAGGCGAGCACGCTACCACTTGAGCCACATCCCCAGCCCCCTTCTTTATTTTTTAAATTCCTATGAACATCCTATGTAAGCCTTTCTATTTCCAATAGGAGTGTCCTTTACTGAGGAAATTTTCTCATCTACTTTTTCTGTACATTTCCCCATATTTTCCAACATCCTTATATAAAAATCTTAAATGTTTTTTTCATTTTCCATGAACTTTGACTTTTCTTTTTAATCCATTTCAGTTCTTGTAAATAGGAAAAAAGCCAATTCCCATGTTAACCATGATGGGCGAGTGGGGGGATCATCCTTTCACCCCAGGGTGGGGCACAGATAAGAATGTTTGACACCATGATGTTCTGTTTCCAAAGGCTGTGCTTGGTCGTGGCTGTGCCAAAAGCAAAACGGGGAGAAAGGACATAGGCTTCTGGCACAAGGTTGTCCATTTTCTGCCTGGTTTCACAGAAAAGCACAGCAGTGGGGTCATTGTGGCTTAGTGCTATTCCCATTTAATGCCAGGATCCCATCAATTGTTGTAGAGAAGGTTTGGATGCTTTGTTTGACACCCTGTCTTCTCTCATAGTTTGGCCTGTCACTGCTCCTTGTCCTCCTGAGCCGTGGGGAAGACTTACAGAGTTCAGACCCTGCTACAGAATCAACGCAAAATAACCAATGGTCAGTACAGACTATTTCTCTATTTTAAATTTTTTGAGGTGATCTTTTCTTTTTTCCCTCATCTTGTTGTTTGGTTTTCCCTGTCAGGACGGAGGTGATGTTCATGGCAACCCGAGAACTTCTGCGGATTCCCCAAGCAGCCCTGGCCAAACCAATCTCTATACCCACAAACCTAGTGTCCCTTTTTTCTCGCTATGTCGACCGGCAGAAATTGAACTTGCTGGAGACAAAACTGCAGTAAGTTTTAAAAAGGATAATTGCACATGTCAACAAAGTTAGCTTTTTAGAAGTTATGATAGAGGGGAGGATAAAACTGAATTTGGTGGAAAAGAGTAAAGACTTTAAATAAATATTCACGTATCTACTGATATAAAATGCTATACTGGGTGCAGCAGTACCCTCACTGAAGTTGACTAAGAGTAAAACAATGTCTTGGGTGTTTTGTTATTGAGAATCTTTAAAAGGTAGAAATTTTAATACAAAAGTTTGCTTTCTATTTTAACTTATTTATATAAACAAGTTTTTTTTCTCTTTTTTTATACCCTTAGGCTAGTTCAGGGGATACGATAAAAGATCTCCAAATGTGTCCTGTACCTCCTTTGGGCTGCCACCTGCACTGCTGCCATCACCAATGGAGTGTTTTTAATGAGGGAGGGAAGGTAGCTTATTCCCCAAAGCAAAGTCTTGTGGGATTGATTCCTGTTTACAGGGGTTGTCTCTAAATGCCAGGTATTTTCCCCATTGCTCTGTGAAATTTGGCTGGGTGATACTTATGCTGGTTTCTTCTTTACTTTCTGTGTTACAATTCTGCATGTCCTACTTTTACTCAATTCTTCTCAATTTTGCATTTTCTTTGCCCTAGCGACAAAAAATTATATCTCCCTTGATCCCACTACCACTACTGCAGTTCAAAGTAGATTGTAGCCTGCCAAAAGATTCTTCCCCTCATCTTATTGAAGTCTTTTTTCATTATCCCATATTAATATGACTGTAGGAGAGCCAACTAAATAGAAATCAAGTTCTAGAAACACACATACCCCATACATATATTTATATGATCTCCAGAGGGTCCTTAAAGAATGAATTTTAAATTGAAAAATATTTAGTTGACACATACCATCTCTAAACAAACCAACTGATATATTTTTAATCTGTTTCTATTTTGTCTTATAATTAATTTGGTGGAAATACTTATTTGTTTTAATATAAATACAGGGTATATGGCACATTTAATAAGATCATATTTCTTAATTGGCTGGTGCCCAGCTCTAGGTTGAGAAGTTATTTTCCTCTTCCCCACCTGTATTTTCTTTGTTTTGTCCTCCCTAATGGAAACAGCACACGGTTAAGCCTTTTTCCAGCTACAACCACAGTGTGCTTGAGCCTGTCCCCTCAAGTGCATTCAGGAGCACCCAAGGTGATCCTCACTTACAGCCTGCTTGAGCAGTGTAGCTTTTTGCACACTCTGTCTTCCTGAGGTGACTTCAGTAAGCCATGCTTGTCCATCTCTTTTCCTCATTTTCATCTGGTGTCATGGGTAGAAACCTTCAAATGTAACCACAGAAGCTAAGCTTGGCCTGCTCTGCTCTTCACTATCCTCCAACATGGGCAGAACTGCCGTCCTGGCTCGTCCATCTCACCTGAGCCTCGTTCCCAGGCAGCCAGGGACCTGGGTTTAAATCTTAGCAGGTACAGCCTGCCATGATCTTTTGTCACTTACCCTTCTTCCTTTCAGCAATCAACCAGGATAAAGGGTTTTGGTCCCTAGAGATTTCAGTTCTGAAGAAGATTAAATCTGAATCAATTGTACATGCCCTTCCAGTCTACTTTATGCCATTCTCACCTTTTCGAATGTAGTGGGGGGACAGGCTGTGACATTTAAAGAGAATAAACGTTTTGCACATACATGTATTG